CCTGTATAAGATACCTTGTTTGCTAGGCGTTCGGTTTGTCTGACTACAAATCTTTTCATACTTTGCACACCCTATCTTGTTTTGTAAGGTGGGATAGTGAGTATTCTAATCTACACTGGGGAATATCGACGTGGGGGGAGGTCATAATGGCAGCCACAACCCTACAATTGAAGTCCCATCTATATTTAAGATCGTATACATAAAAACGGCTTGGCTTTGATTACACATCTTGACTTTTTTCACCCCTCTGTAGGTACTCCTGGTGCAGATTAAGGAAAATAATTCCTGACTCCTTGCCAGGAAAGTTATATGAAGCCAGTGCTTTTCTTCACTGAAGGAAAACAATGGGCAGAAATGTCATAAATAGATTATTTGGTTCTAAACATTATTTCTTTGTCAGTTTTGATCTGGGTACATTATATAATTGCATTGAGATGATAGTTTTAAGTCGGCAGGCAATTTACTTCAAAGAGACAGAAGTTAGGACAGCTCTTGCCTGCCCTCCTCTTTTCAAAGATCATTTCCAGAATGGGAGAAAGGAAGTGTTTTGAAGCGGTTAAGTGATTTCTCTCCCTTCACAGACCATTCTTAATTGAGTTTTGGCACATTCTGTACATTTTTAGATCAGCATCAAAGCTAGTGTCCGTCCAGTGATAAGCAGCTTGTTCTCAGGTTTCAAAAAAAAAAAAAGAAGAAAATACACACATATACACACAGATGGCACATATATACACAAATTTATATAAAGCCTTTATTTTCCACATTGTTTCGATGTACGTAAATATGCATGTATGTGTGTGTATATGGATACACAAATATACAGCCTTCATTTTCCACATCCTTTACACACACACACACAAACACATTTTCCATTAAGCTGAAATGTCCCTATTGCTATAAAATAAAAGCAACATAGAGCAAGATATGGCCTCAGGTGCTGAACTGGGAATATATAAATGCTGTGGATTGAATTTACCCTTAAATTTTACCCAGAAGATCACTATGGAGTTAGGATTGGTAACACAGCCAGCCAGATATTTAGACTGAATTTGGCATTTTTCTCCACCTATTGAGTCCTTCCTAAGCCCATGAGAAAGATGCCATTCTCTGTGCCTCTATTTGTTTTATTAATCCTTTGTAAAACTGTAGATTAGGGTTAATCTGGACAATCAACAATATCATTTGTATTGTAATATATTATAAAAGTATTGTGATATTAGTTATTAGCAGTGCTAAGTTGTCCCATTTGTAGGAATGTTTTTTTAATTGTGTCTGTATCAGAAATAACTTCCAGGGAAATGTATTTCAGAAAAACATATTGATTTTTTCTCAGGAGAGAACAATATATGTAAGAGAATGAAAAAGGGCCAATTTTATTATTTTCATTGCATATATAGCCATCGGACATTGGATAAATTGATTCCTTCCATCAATCTGTGAACATTATATATATCTTTATTATGTGTGTATGTGGAACTTCCCTTGAGAAGTGTGTAAAAGTGATATAAATTGATGCAATTGGTGTAAAATCGGGCTGCTAGGCTGTTTACAGTTTCAAAGGACATGTATTACATGAGGGCTGCAAACTCGCTGCCCGTGGGCTGGATGCGTCACATGCTAGCTACGCCCATACCCAGTTTAGCGAAGGGGGAGAAAGTCAGGATACATCACATGATAATGCAGTGACGACGTGAGTTTGGACACTCCTGTGTTATATAATGCCTCCACTCTAAGATCAGCATTTATTACAAATCCAATACAACCATAATGATACTGCATGCATTGTGTCAATAACTGTGCAAAGGACATCATAACACAAATGATGTCACTTGCTAACTCTTGCCCCCTCAGCAGTTTTTCATGCCTCTGCTGTTCTCAATTGCTTAGCAGATGCAATTTAAGAAGTTAGTATGAAGCTATGAAACCAGGGTATTCTTATTTAATGTCTAGTTTCTTTGCTTACAAATCTATCCAGGAATTATACTCAATAGGAGGGGCCTTTTTAAGAACGTGCTCCTATGGTTATAGCCCTGTCCTTTCCAGTATGTGGAAAAAGTCCTTCTTCTGGATTGTTTGCAGGGCTTTTCTCTCTTAATTTATACAAATAAATTAAAGCCCAGCAGTGGCACTGATCCCAACTTGCTTGCAAATAATTTTACCCCTTGAAGGTTTCTTTGAAGAAATCCAAAGGGATTTTAAAAACTGGATATAAGAATGTAAAGCAATATTTGTACTAAAGCAGTTAAGCTGTTTGTAAACAATTACATGTCTTTCCTGGGTCTTTATTTAAACAGGACAAAGAAACGTTTTGTTGTTCTTCCTGGGATTTGAGTTAATTCAAAATGGAGCAACAAGTTAAAAAAAAACTCCCATGTGTTTCCTCTTTAATTAGCTAATAGGTATGTAGGTTAAATCCAAAAAAGATTTGGAAAAATCAGTTTAAAATAAACACCTTAAACTGCTCCTCTCATTTTGTTTGAAAATTGTTTTTTTTTAATCACTCTTTTCTCGCTTGGTTCTTCAATTATTGATTTAAGGGAATTCTAGGTTCAAAATACCCTTTTGCATTAAAAACACTCTTGAAAGCACAATTTCATTTAACTGTGGGCTTGGAAGTCAGCCCTTGCCAGTGAAGTGATGGTGTCATAGCATCCTGGCAAACTTTGCATCAGCATAGCTACAGAATTAATGTGGCCATTTGCTAAAAGAGAAAAGCTAACTTATTCCTTGATTCTAAACTGTGGGCGGAAGTGGGAGTGTGGATTTCCGTAGGATAGAATCTCTTATTTAGATAGAATATGTCCTAGGCACCTCTGTCTTGACTTAAAAAACACTATTTGCAAGTTGTGAAGTTTATCTGGAGAATTGGAAAGAAGACTATTAAACTGCATCTGAACATTTGAGTGAACAGCACACATCATATGTGAAGCTAAAATTGCCATAGAATTCAGCAGTTTTATGCATATAGTTAATGTGACCTAGAAGAGAGTATAGGTAGCCCTGGAATGTAACCACAATAAGCTCAAAATGTCCACTGCTAAGCAAGGGCCTTGTTAAGCGAGTTTTGCTGCATTTACAACCTTTCTTGCCACAATTGTTAAGTGAACCATGTGGTTGTTAAGTGAATCTGGCTTCCCCCATTGACTTTGTCTGAAGCTGGCTGGGAAGGTTACTAATAATAATCACATGATCCTGGGACAGTGCACTGACACTTAATCATGATCACATAATTAAGGGGATGCTGCAGTACAGATGATCCTCAACTTACAACAGTTCATTTATTGACTGTTCAAAGTTATAATGGCATTGAAAAAAAGTGACATGACCATTTTTCACACTTGCAACTGTTGCAGCATCCCCATGCCCACGCACTGACTCATATTTATGACGATTGTACTGTCCTGGGGACATGATTATCTTTTGCCACTTTCTGATAACAAAGTCAAAGGGAAAATCACATTCACTTAACCAGGTTACTAACTTCACAACTGCAATGATTCACTTAATAACTGTGGCAAGAAATGTTGTAAAATGGGGTGAAATTCACTTAACAACAGAAATTTCGGGCTCAATTATGGTCGTAATCCCAGGACCAACTGAAGTTGCGTATGTGTGAAAACTGGTCGTAAGCCACTTTTTGCAATGCTCCTTTAAACAGTCACCAAATGAATTGTTAGTCAAAGACTACCTATAATTTAAAATGGAAACTGATATTGCAGGAAACTGAAAATGGGTACTTATTTTAGGCTTATAGCAATTAATGCAGCTAGGAGCCAGCCTCTTACAAATGACTTGCAAGTGATTCTGGAAGTAATAGAGCAGTGGTTAGAGTGCAGTACTGCAAGCTACTTCTGCTGCCTGCCGGCTGCCTGCAATGTTGCAGATTGAATCTCACCAGGCTCAAGGTTGATTCAGCCTTCCATCCTTCTGAGGTGGGTAAAATGAAGGCCCAGATTGTTGGGGGCAATAGGCTGACTCTGTAAATTGCTTAGAGAGTAAAGCACTATAAAGTGGTATATAAGTCTAAGCGCTATTGCTATTGTTAATAGCTCTATACTGGGAAGATCTCCTTTGGGGTGACTGGCCTGAATATTTCTTTAGATTTTGTTTTAGATTCTTTATATTCTTTCCATTTTTTTAAAAAAATGAAAAGATTGAATGATTCAGTTTCAACCATAATCTGTAAATGAAGTTTATATAAGCTTTATTGAGAAATAAAAATGACAGTTGATAATAAGTTGTTCAAAGTCAAAATAATACATAAAATTATAGAAACATATAATCGTTTACCAAATGAAGAACTCTCCGAAGAGATCGAAATTATAAAATCCAAATGCAAATTAAAACCCAGTCAGATTTTCACAAATAACCTTGACATCCTATTTTATATCTTAACTTTGTTCCATTATTCTGCATGTATATGGGTATTTTTCATTTCAACAGAATGAAGCTAGAGAACATCTGTGACATTTACTAATAGTTTGTAAACAATATTTATGTACTGTACAATATTAGTTTCTCTTTAAAAGCAGTTAATCATTTATTTCTATCTTTGAAAAGAGCAAATCAGTTAACATGTTGAAAAAAAACTGCTCAGAAAAGGACAGACACTTCATTACATTTTTAAGGCTGTTTCTACAAACAGGTTACATGAATAGGTAATGTTTTTACTGCAGCAGTTAAGTGGTGTGCAGCTCAGAAGTACTTAGATTTAGCTTGACAGTTTTAAGAGTACTATCTGTTTACTTTCTTGAAAAATTAAAACATTGACAAGGATTAGCAACTAAACATAAAGCTATTAGAACTGATATTAACAGAGGCACCTTAAAAAGCAGGAACAAGTAACAGAATTGGTGGTATTAAAAAAAGCTATGAAAGGGTATTCAGTATTAGTGTAGAAGTCCAAATCAATAATTACATTACAAAATAAATTTAAAGGGATCTAATCATTTTACAAAAGACTTTCCTCTTTTAGTTTCCCCCCCTTTCTTTTGACCTTCTTACAAGTCATATATTTTGTTGGTGTTTTGCCTTAGAGCAGCTAATGTGGCAGGTAATGACACTTCTTTGAGGCAGGCAATCTCTTTCACTGTGTGCAGAGCTAATCCAGGATGTGAAAACTGGCTGACTCGTTTTGGCACCTGTCGAGGAAGGAAATAAGGTGCATCTGTTTCTACCACTATTCTGTTTAATGGGATTTTTTGAACAGAGTCTCTAACCTCATTTGCTGATGGGTAAGACAGCAATGCAGTGAATCCAACAGTCAGATTTGGAAAATAGTCTAAAAGTGGTTCAACGACACTATAGCGTCCAATGAAACAATGCCTGTGTATTTTATAGTCTTTCGGCACACATTTTTTCATGATTTCTAACAGATCACCATCAGCACCTCTGCAGTGAATGACCAATGGCTTCCTTAAGGAAACAGCTAGATTCAGTTGCCTCTCAAAAACCTCATGCTGCTTTGGGATTTCTGTACGACATTTGTAAGAGTAATCCAGTCCTATTTCACCAAAGGCAATAGATTTGGGGTGTCTCATTGCCTGCATGAGATTTCTTTCATGAAGATCTGTATAATAACAAGCAAAGTGGGGGTGGCAGCCAAATGCCCCCCAAACCATATCTTCCTTTAATAAATCTTCCCATAAGTTGTTTCTTAAAATACAAGGGTCACAAAAGTCAGCTATGCAGCCCAGAAATTCTTTAGGAAAAGTGCTGCTGTGTCTTTTCCTAAATTCAGAAAAAGTTCCTTTGAAGGATGTTTTTGAATATAACATGTCCAAATGGCAGTGTGTGTCAATAAAGCCGCCTTGTAAATATTTGGGCAATCTCATAGGCAAATCCTGGTCAACACAATTATTAGTGAAATAATCTGACTTACATGATGAAGAAAATATGGGAATATATGTTTCTCTTTCCATGTTTTGGGGTCTTTTTTTCTCTTTATAATCCCGTAAAGAACCATATGACCACACTTTCTCTTGCGCACTTTCCACTGAAGGTTTTTTATCTTTTGCTGCTTTCATTGTTCTTTCTAAAGGAATGTCATAGAGATTATTGGAATATGAAATGTTTTCAGTGGATCTTGTAAAAGAATATGTTGGCTTTAGATTGCTTGTTTGGTGTTTTCTATAACAATTCACTTTCTGACTGTAGAAATGAGGAGGATACATCACAAATTCCGTTGTTGATGCTGACATTTCTATCATTTCTGAAAGTCTGTGATTAGAAATGGAATTTTCTTGTGAAAAGGTGACCAGCGGTCCTCTATCTTCCATGTTGGATCTATAATTTTCAGATGAAAACTCTTCGTTGTGCTCCATACCCTTTTGATATGTTTCTGAATCACCTGTAAACACTGGTTCCAGAGAGGATTCAACAACAACCGTCTTCTGGAAGTTCACACACTTTTCTGCAGCATCACTTTGTGTTTTAGATAAAGTGGAGGGAATCCATTTGTCCTTTGCTATGTTTTTTGGCTTTGCGCCAGCACTAAAGCTTTTTGCAAAAGGTTTCTGATGGTTGCTATTCTGCTTGGTCTCTTCACCTTCATATTCTGAAGCTCCAGAGACCCATCTCCAATGGGCTTCTGATTTCCAATATTGTTTTTTACTTTGGCTAGCAAAAGTATTCCAGCCAGAGGCTTTAGGTAACTGTTTAGGACAAACTTGACTATTTTTTTGCTCTCCAATTGGTGAAAAGCTGCTTTTAAGTTTGTGTTTTGGTTGGTAATTTTCTTTCCAAAACACTTTAATCTGTTGAGCATCTATTTTCTTTTTTACTGGGACATTTGAGTCATTTGATCCCTGATAAAGTTCATTTTTATCACTTGATCCTGTATGAACATATTTGGAAGTATTCACTGGCTTGGAAAGTTCTCTCGTGCTATATTTAGCTTTGTGTCCTGTTTCTGTAGCAGCCTTCTTAATGTTGGAAATCTGTTGAGGCTCCAATTCATGTTCAGGTCTTGTTAGTTTATAATCTGACCAACATTGTTGCTTATTGTCTTGCTTGACAGCAATGTTACTTTCCTGTGGTGTAGTTTCCAAACAATGTGAATTGTTTCTAATTTCTCGCCCTCTACTTTTTGATGCTACTGAAAATTCTCCCAGGTTGTTAACTGGTCCAAGTTCCTCTTTTCCAGAAGAGCTTTCTTTATGAATTTCATTTGTAGAAGTTTTTCTTCGGGCTTGCAATTCTCCCCCAAATACACTCAGCAGAGCTTTACGATATATTTTTCGAGCTCCTTCACCCTGATCTTGGTTTTTTATTTTTCTCTGGACACATTCAGCAGACTTTTCTTTTAAGGCACTTTTTCTTTCAGGGACTGGAGAATCGTTTGCGCCTGCCTCTCTACCATCTTCTTGCTTAACCTTCAGCTTCTCAGGGGCCTGAGAGGAAGATGCCATATCTTTAATAGATTTTAATTTCCGAAGCGGGGGGGGGGGGGGGCTTTATAAGAAAGCTTTTGCTGGGGGCGAGAGGGTCTACTCTTGGCCTTCCTTAGCCCTGCTGCTAATGCATCGTCTTACTTCAAATTCATCAATCGCCGGCAGCGAATGAAGTTCGGGAAAACTACCTGCGCGGGGAGAAGACCCGGAGTCTTCCTATACGCAGCCTCCCTGCCGTCACCGGGACTCGCGGGAAGAAGGCTAGAAGCGGTTCGTGAGGCTTGCAAAGCTGTCCGCTCGGCTTTGCATCTCCTGCTTGGCTGCATCGAAGTTAAATTTTCTTCTCCCAGGCGTCGGAAACGGTCCGGGTCACCTTTAAGCTGCGCCACCCGTTGCCTCGTCCCAGCTGCCCCTTGGCGGCTCGATTCGCCGGATCTGCTTCCGCGCCTTCTTTCCGTCGCCTGCCTTGCCCATCTCCCGCTGTAGCACCTCCAAAGTGCCGGAAAGAAGGCGTTCTTCGATCTGCCCAGTGCTATTTTTGGGGGAGCCCGATCATCCGTCCAGGAAAATTGCTAAGAGTACGCTACAGTAGTCAAGAGTATCCTAGGGCAACAGAAGACTAACAGAGAGCAACTCTCAGTTTGTGTTATAGTCAATCAGAGTCGCCTGATTGGAATCCTCCACCTTGGTGGCTTTGAACATGTCCCTCTAAGCAACATTTATGAAAGTACCTTCAGCACGCTGTCAAAAGTTTCAACAACCATGCTGGCTAAGAACTCTTTTACTCCCCATCTCACTCCTTATAATGCTAAACCAAATACAAGCTTAGATGGAGGAATAGAATAGAGTGGGGTGGAGTGGGGTAGGGTAGGGTAGAGTAGAGTAGAGTAGAGTAGAACAGAATAACAGAGTTGGAGGACCTTGGAGGTCTTCTAGTCCAACCCCCTAAATAGGCAGGAAACCCTACACCACTTCAGACAAATTGTTATCCAATTCATTAACTTTTGATAAATGAAAATGTTTTTGTAGAAGTACTAAGAACCAATTAAAGAAACAATTTCTATAACTACAAGGTATCAAATGTAAACTCTGTTTACGCCACTCCAGCTTGATGCTTTTTCTATCTGTTGCCTGCAAAGGACTAAAAGTAATTCTCTTCTTGCCAGGAAATATAGTTTCCACCAGTTCTTTGGTTTGGTAGCAACCTAATGTGGTCAATCGGAACAAAAAAATTGTTTCTTTTAATTGTGTGAGAATTAATGTTCACAACTGCCAAATCTCTGTATATAAAAAGAGTTCATTTTGGAAAGGAAGAAATATGAGGGAACTTGTAAATGAATTTCAAAATAAAAAATAAAGACAATTCAAATTAAAGCAATTACATGTCAATTGTTTAAGTAAAATAACATATAAAGAGAATGGCATGAAAGAGGCCATCTTTACATCCTGATTAATGTTATTCAATTGTCCTTTTCTCTAGTTGTTTGGAGTGCTACTATTTCTGTGTGGTAGAGTAGAGAGATATTTGTATCTAAAAAAAATGCTGCCCAACTTTCTCTCAGTAACTCCGGGCAGCTTGCAAAGAGAAGAACCTAATATAAAAAAACCATAAAATAAAAATGTTAAAATCACTCTCTTAAGGGGATTGATTGTTGCTTTAGATAATAAAATGAGATCCTCTGGTCATAGGTCTAGCAAGCCAATAACATCATTACTATTGGAGGTATGTCTTTCCCAACAGCCCTATAGTTGAATAATAAAGAATGGTCAGTTCTGATGTAATAGTCTTTAGAGATTCTCAGTCATCCAGGTCATAGTTGTCCCAAAGGTGCTTTTTCAGGAGGCCAGTGGACTTTCTGGTTTTTTTTTTCTTTTGAAGACGTTTCGCTTCTCATCCAAGAAGCTTCTTCAGCTCTGACAGGATAGTGGGGAATGGAAGGATTTATACTCCTTGCAGACAGCTGGTCATTTGCATCCTTCTAGAGGGTCATTGAAGTGCTTGGAGGCTTATCAGTGTCCCCAGAGTCACTTGGTTGCTGGAGTCTGCAATGTTTCCTTTGGAAATCCATTCCTACTCCACACCATTCAAAGGTTGTTCATCCCAAATTGTATAGCTAAAAGTCTGTAGAGATTCTCAGTCATGGTTGTCCCAAAGGTGCTTTTCGAGGAGGCAACTGAACTTTTCTTTTGAAGACGTTTCAGTTCTCATCCAAGAAATTGCAGACTACAGGAACCAGGAGCACTACCCACATGACTCCGAGGACACAAATAAACCTCCAAATGCTTCAAAGGCCCTCTAAAAGGATGCAGATGACCAGCTGTCTGCAAGGAATATAAATTCTTTCATTCCCCAACATCCTGTCAGAGCTGAAGAAGCTTCTTGGATGAGAAGTGAAACATCTTCAAAAGGAAAAAAAAACAAGTAAGTCTAGTTGCCTTCTGATGTAGTGGTGTGGGAGAATGATCTTGAGAGACTGGCCCAAAGAGACTGCCTAGGGAAGGGTCAAATAAGAAACACCATAGTCTGTAGTTGGAGAATGGGTGGAGCAAGGGAATCAGAAGAGACCCTCCCTGATTTATTGGATTATAATTGTATTTTCAGATTTGCAAGGTTCCATTAATATAGCTTTATAATAAAGTAGAAACAGCTCATCTGGTCATGTCTCCTCTCTGGATACCAGTAAGGTTGACATCTAGTGTGAAACAGTATAACACACTTATACAGGAAAGGCTTACTAAGAAACAAAAGATGAGTTCTGATCCTCCCAGCAATGTGGCTATTTATCAACTGTGGCTAATAAGCCATCAATACACTAGCCAGAGTCACTTTCTGTGAGATGGGTGGCCATATAAATTTGAATGAATGAATAGAAAGGAAGTGTGGTAGAGTGGTTAATACATTGGATTTGGAATGGTTCTAGGATCCAGGTTCTAGTCCACCTTCAGTCATGGGAAGTTTATTGGGTGGTAGGGGAACAAGTCACTCTCTTAGCCAAACTTTTTTTGCAAGTTGTTGTGGGAAGAAGTAGAGTAGAGAAAACTGTGTATATCAATAAAAGAAAAAATATCTAGCTCAGAGTTGCACCGTGGAGCCCTTGGTACTGAATGAACTTGATTGTTTATTTGCAGATGTTTCATTACCTCACTAGGTAATATCATTAGTGCATAATACTGCATAATATTACAGGACACTACTGGTGTTATTGTTGATAATGGGTAATGAAACATCTACAACCATATATGTGGTATGTGGGAATGATTTAAGGAGACCAGGGGAATGGTCTCTGTTACAATAGGGAAATGGTCAGATAAGAGGCAGTTTAGCCCAGAAGTAATGTGGGTGTGGCAAATGTCTTAGAACAACACCCTTTCCCAGTTTTTTGGGATCTAAAGGCAATAGAGAAGAAATGTACTTTCAGATTTGCAAGATTCTATTAATATAACCTTAAGTAGAATTAGGACATCTGGGCGATGTGGTTCCCTTCTGAATTGTCTCATAAGGCTGAGAGAATATCAACTTGTTCTCCTGAATAAAAGGTAGGATATAAATCTACTGAACAAACAGATTTTGCCCAGATCCACAATTCCTTCCTTTCACAGAGTGAATTTATATTCCTCAAGTTATGACCACAATGTTGACCAAAATTTCCATGGATAAGCAAGACAATTGTTAAGTAACTTTTTGCCTGATTTTTTTGCCACTGTTAAACAAATCACGCAGTTGTTAAAGTGAATCATATGGCTATTATGAAAATCCGGCTTCCTCCATTGACTTTGCTTGTTGGAAGCCAGCTGGGAAGATTGCAAATGGCGATCATAAGACCCCAGGATGCGGCAGCCATTATAAATACGCGGCCATTGCCAACCACCCAAATTTTGATCACCTGACTGTAAGGATGTTGCAATAGTCTAGTACAAGAATCCATTTTAGGTCACTTTTTTTTCAGTGCGATTGTAACTTCAAACAGTTGCTGGTTGTAAGTTGAGGATTATGGTGTAATGTTCATTTTAGGTTTACTGTATTATCAATATGTAGGTTTCCCTAGGAACATTTGGCAATGGCATTTGGCATTATTTAAAAAATTCTAATCATAATTTAAAAATTTCCCATCCATACTATTTCCTGTCAGTTGAGAAACTCATAAAACGTCTATTTCAATTGTTTGCAAGTGTCAGACCTTGATTAAAAAAAAAAAACTAAATTATGAGATTATAATTCACCATGATTTTAAAAACTGAAAACATTCCTCAGTAATCCATATTTAGGAAGTCCTTCTTTATACCCAAAAATGTAGTAATATAATAATGCAGAAAAGAGAATCTTACTATTCCTCTCCCAGTCTTTTCACATTCTTGATCATTTTTTTTAAAAAAAATCTTTTTGTGAAGGGTTGGCTAATTGAAGATCAAAGATGTTAACACTTGGTGACCTGGCTGTATGCCAGCCAGATAATTATGGTCTGCCACTCTGAATCCCACTGTAGTTTCATTATTAAGATCAATTGTTGTATCCAAATAATTGGAATACCTTTCTATCTGAAGTCTTTTATTATCTTATGTAAGTTTTTTTCTGACATCTACTTTAGCCTTGTTACAAAATATGTTTACGTTTGGATTCATATATACAAGAATAATCAAACACTTGATACCATGTTTGTGGGATTGTACCAATTTCAGAAGCTAGCTGAGTGACAGCAAGATTGATCACCAATAGTAGATTTGCCCATAGTATGCTCCTGTTAAAGAGACAGGTGTTAGAGAATTCAAAGCAGGATCCCGTTAATTCCTATAAAAAGCCCCAGGGCTGATCCTTGTATATCCATTTCAGACAAGTGCCCTAGTAAGTGAATATTGCTTCAATAAGGCTCTGATCTGGACCTCCATTTCACATGTGGATGTTGGGAATCACAGAATTTTGCAATGAATTGGCAGTACAGAAATCCAGCATAAAGAGTAAAATCCAGCATAAAGCAGTGCAACAGAGACAAACTCATAAAACGTCTGGGAAATCTTTTCATTGTGTTCAAAGTATGCATTTATTGCTAGAAGATTAAATAAACAGTCTTCTTAGTTATAAGATGTATGATGCCTTTTATGGCTTCACCACTCCATTTTTAATGTCTATATTAAAAACTATGGTAGACATAAACTGTCAAAAAAGTCAAGATGGTGGCTGTGCTCGCAAGGCTGAAGCTCTGTTCATTTTTATGTGCACTTTAAAAAGGGGAAGGTTTCAGCAATGTAGTACAGCTGCCATCTCCACATTTTTAATCTCCCACGGATGCACTATTTAAGACCCTCTTTAGTATCACTCTACATAATGATATGTGGGGAATGACCATGGGGGGCAGGGGAAAGAAACACAGCCAAGGCAATGGTAAGATAGAAGGCTACTTAGCTCTCATAGGAAAGTGGGCAGGTCACATGGCTCAGAAAGGACCGTCCCTAGTTTCTTGGCATGTAAAGGGGACCTGAGTGAGGGAAGAAATGTACTCTAACAGAATTGGAAGGGACCTTGTGGATCATCTAGTCGAGTGGTCGCCAACCAGTGGGCCTGAGACCACTGGTGGTCCATGCGAAAATTTTGGTGGTCCGCAGAGAAATATCACCCCAAAGCACTCCCCAAAACAATTAATCCAGGCTGCGTGAGAACACAAGGCTGCACTGCCCACATGGCCCGCGGGAGCACAAGGCTTGTGTCGCTTGCATTGTGAACAAAACATAGTGAGGGAGGGGGGAAAGGGCGGAGGGGAGAACTTGCCCCAAGCACCCCACGCACCTGGCCTAGCCACCGGGCTCCTCCTTTCCACTTCTTCTTTTTTTGGCTGCATGCAAGGAAAGCAGCAAAAGTCTTTCTTTCTCTCCCCCAAACTCTGCCAGAAATGAGTCTTTGGGACCCTGCAAAGCATCCTGTTCCAAGAGGCTGCGCCGGCATGACAAGTCTCACAAAGACTCATATCCAGCGGAGTTTGGGGGAGAGAAAGAAAGACTCCTGCTGCTTCTGCTGCTTTCCTTGCATGAAGCCAAAAGTCAGCCAGTCTCTGTCTGTCTCTGTCTCTGTCTCTCTCTCCCTCTCCCTCCTTCCCTCCCTCCCTCCCTCCCTCGGAGAACGGAGCTGGAGACAGTATCCTGCGATCCCAAATAAACGATGATTGATTGGTAGGAAAATGGGGTGGGGAATTTTCCTGCAGACTTTTTTGGGGATTTTCCCAGGATCTTTGGTCCGTGGGATTTAAAATTATGAGTTTGGTGGTCCCTGAGGTCCAAAAGGTTGGTGACCCCTGATCTAGTCAAAACCCCACCCCGCCAAGCAAGAGACCCCGCACCATTTCTGACAGATGTCAGTCCAGTCTCTTCTTGAAAGCTTCCAGTGATGAAGCTCTCACAACTTCTGAAAACAACTTCGGTTCCATTGGTTGATTGTTCTCACTGTCAGAATTTTTTTCCTTATTTCCAGGTTAAGTCTCTCCTTGATCAGTTTCCATACATTATTCCTTGTCTGGCCTTCAGGTGCCTTGGAAAATAGCTTGACCCCTTCCTCTCTGTGGCAGCCCCTCAAATATTGGAAGACTGTTATCCTGTCTCCCCTGGTCCTTCTCCTTACTAGACTAGCCATGCCCGGTTCCTGCAACCGTTCATCGTATGTTTTAGCCTCCAGTCTCCTAATCATCTTGGTTGTTCTTCTCATTTTAGGCTTGCAGGAGTGTAATCTTACAATAAAATAGAATTAGGTCATCTGACTCTATTTCCTGTCTTATAAACTGATATTTTCTTCCTCTCCATACTGTAGATTAAGTGATAAAAGGCAGTGCTATCAGATTCATCATTTGCGGAGACCTTTCGAAAGTGAGATTGAAAGGCAGCTCTACATAAAATCAGATTGAGGGCTAGATTTCCAAGATGGAAACAAGGTGCACTAGCACATCTCCAGGGACTGAGGACAATGCTGAGGCACAAACATGACAGCTGGACAATGTGCCAAGTGAAAAGAATTTCTTTCACAGGAAGAAAGCTGCAAGATCGCCCACTTTAGCTCTGCAGGGAAGCTCCTCACAAGGAAAGCACAACCCACTTTTCCAAAGCACATTCAGATGGAGAAAATGTAGAGACATTCAAAGCAGCAGAGTGTCTAAAACCACCCAGATAAATGTACCTTCAACTTAACAGGAATGATTAAAAAGTACGGAAGCCACTATAAATTAGACTGAGGGATGCTCGTTCTGTTTAAGCAAACAAACTATTTATATGACATAACAAAACCAGCTTGGTGATTTTGGACCAGTCACTCTCTCTCAGCCCAACTCACTTCACAGGGTTGTTTGCAAAAGTAATAAAGGTGGGATACAAATACTGTAAAATAATTAAAAAGCCAAAGGTTTTCCCTGCCAATTGTGTCTGACTGGATCAGGAATTCTGGAAGTTGAAGTCCATCAGTCATAAAGGGGCCATAGTTCCCCAGCCCTGCTTTAATTCATAAGGCTGAATAGTAACATTAAACACGTAAAACTGTTTTAATCTACCCATTAATGAGTCATACTTTGTCTATTTATTTTTTTCTGTCCTATCTAAAATATTGTGGCGTGCTTCTGAGAGATCATGGCAGATCTGTGTTGGGGTATGTGAAAATGTATCTTCCCATAATATGAGCTTACTTTACTTTATTGATTAGCCCTTTGGCCATATCAAAGTGCAAAGTTCCAGACCCAAATTATTACTAAAATCTGATAACAGTTTAAAATTGAATTGGATAAAATACAATTTAACATGAAATGGGCAAAATAGATCTATTGAGAGCTTATGCAATAATTCATGAGTGTTTTTCTTGTTTCTTCTGAATTAATTCTCCTTTCATGCAAATTAATATTTCAAAAATAACTATGTTGAAGGAATTTACCCCACCCTAACATTCTAGGAGTTTGCTCAGTTGAAACAATCTAATTTCTAACATTTTAGATCTTGAGGTTAACACATCCATCTTAAGCAGTCTTGGGAAATGTGTTGAAAAAGGTTATAAAAATTATCAAAATAGAACTAATTTTCAGACAGACAAATGTTTAATCTGTACAAGTCCATAGCTTGTTTGAATGCATGAGAGTAATTTCATGGTTGTTTGGAACCTAGCCAGAGAATGTTGTCAGCTCCTGCCAAATAGCATTTGATTGATTAAAATCTATTATAGTCACTGATGAATCAATTAAAACATATAACTGTAAAATAAATACTTATTGCAGACTTGGTATAAAGAATAAATAACCTGTTGCTTACCGATTAAAAGTCATAACAAAAGCACTATATCAGACAAAGTGCTTTTCTTTAACATTAACACTATTCGTTAATAATATACAGTAGGATATATAAAAGCCCATAGGATCCCAGTGAACCTATGGGCCATGACCTTGGTTTTATAGGCTATTAAAAAACCATCAAATCCTTCCTTGAAATGGCTCACACATCTTCCAGAATAATGTATAATTAAAAGGACCTCTATAATCGTAAAATATTTTATATTTTCTAGATTTGTCAAGTAAAAAAAGTAACTGTCAAAGTATAAACATTTGGATTCTTTTCTACTTTTGAAAAATAAAGCATTATTTGGAAGTTCTTGCCTCGAATGAGGATTATTACTTTGGATACTGTTCTGATTTTCCAGCTGATATACGAAGAACATATTGGCAGCATGGCTGTAATTCTGCTTCTGGTCCTTAAAAAAAGAGAGAAATGAAAATGATTTTTTTGCAAATCTTTGGAATGTATAATATAAAGCATAAATTGTAATTGCACTTCATTTACTAAGTGCTGCATTACCTCATCCTTTAGTTTTAACAATGGATTTTCCATAAATCTTCATATAGTTAAACATGATAAAGTGCTCAACATATCATAGAACATGACAATGCTTATTAGCCCTTGAGAAGTTATTGATTGCTTACCTTGATTAATCTTTTATGGGTCTCCGTAGTATTAATTCCACAGGAGGGGGTGTGAGGCAAGCGAGATGGAGTAGCATTAAACTCCTTCATTCATAACTTTCAGCTTTAGTTACATGAAATTCTCTGACTGATGTCATTAGGCTAATTATAGTATATTCTCTCTCTCTCTCTCTCTCTTAGCAAAAGTAGTTTGCTTTATCAGATAGTATCAGAATTTCTGAGGTTTATTTTCTGCTGAAACTATCAGATTAAAAACTGGTTTGATAAAGTAAAAAACTGAGTTTCTGGGATCAGAACTCACGAATATTTTTATTATCATTCATGGTAGTCTTCTGCTTTATAACAACAATAGTATTTTTCCAGTGCCATTTTGCAAATTTATGAGTGATTAAAAAATCTTCCTGTATTCTTATTTGGGATAGTTAAATCTACTCATTATTTTCTATTACTGTTAATATCCTAGAATTCAAAATTTCAGATCACGTTGCAAAGTGTCTTTGGCATCTTTATTGTGCTCTTCTTTTTGAAGTTTAAATTATTCTCACACAGTGCATTTTTATAATAGTTCCTGTTATATAAAATATTTTAAAAAGGAACACCCTAAATTTCAGATTTTAAGACCATTTTTCTCATTTCTGAACACTTGATAATATTTTAGGTGGAAACAAAGGCAGCCCAATGCATGATATCATCCTGCCTTCTCTCACAAATTTCTCACACATAAGGATATATCAGGAGACCTTTTCTGATTGTTTAATGCTGGGTCATGCCAGGCTATTAAGAAGAGTCTTATTGGATCATCTGTTAGAGGAACTGCCTAGTACATTTTCCCGTTTGCCATAGCGCATCAAAATAATATTTACCATGGCATAACATGCTAGAGGAAATAGAAACCCTAGTTAGGTTGGCCCATTGGAACACCACCCAATAAAACAGAAAATCCATATGAGCCTTTTTGTGTTTTTGAACTTGTAAATTACATGCCAAAAAAGAAAAAAGAAAGAATAGTTTTCTTTCCTAATGGAAAGCAGTCTTATACCAGAATCTTAACTCCAGTGTTGTTCTTTATAAAGCTACAAATAATCTTAAGCAGGAGGAACCAGACAGTTTCTACAATAATCTAGATCAGTGATGATGAATCTTTTCGGCACTGAGTGGCCAAATCAGAACGCTTAACCA